GTGTGTGTGTGTGTGTGTGTGTATACACACACACACACACACACACACACACACACACACACACACACACACACACACACATTTATTTATTTATTTTTTCCGGAATTTTCAGAAAAGTCCACTTTCATCTCTGTAATAATTATGCATTTCAAACTAATAGTAGGCTATAATGTCTCTTATAACTGCATGGGGAATGAGGTTCTATTAGTCACACGTTTCGTGACTCAATGGCGTTGATCACCCCCAAAATATGCAACCGCTGCAACTGGCATTTTTGTTGTTGTTGTTGTTCTCCTTAGTTAAAACGCCAACAGCGCAACAAGTTGTCAAGCTGTGCAAAACATATTGAAATGCTGCGGGGGGTTGACAACCGTTTGGAAAGAGGAAGCAAAATACATACATTTGAGGCAGGCGGTCGTCGGTGCATATATATCGATAGATCGAGCCTTCACTCTTGAGTGGCTGCCGTTTTGAAATGACACATTCTAAAATTACACATGAAGCTTGTATCATAGCTGCTTGTCTTATGGTTGCAACAAACCAGTCTGCATGAAAATCGCGAAAGAATTCAGTGCGTTAAGAGTGGAGAAGAGAGAGAAGAGTGCATGCGTCGTGTGAAAACCAGCTATCTTAGAGTAAGCAAATCCCTAATTGCCAGCTAGCTTGCATTCGATTCAGCTCTCAAGCGGTCAAGCCCAGCTCGACAGTTTATCAACGCCTTTGTCTTTGTTCGTTCATTTCTGGCTTCTCGCGGTGGCGCACGAAGGGTGTTTGGCTATTTCTACCCCGGAGAGGAGATACATACATCAACATACCCGAAAGGACGTCAGAGATTATATGAAATAAAAAAAGTGTGACATCAGACCTTGAAAAATGATGTTAACGGAACTATTCAACCCTCAAGATTATTTTGGTAGTGCGCCTGTTCCATCAACATACATGAATCAGCATGTAGCCCGTCAGCAACAAACTAGTTCGGCGAACATAAAATGTAAGATTAACTTTGTTTTGATTTGAAACTTTTTTTTTTTTTTTTTGCATTAACACGTCTTTTCTGTTTAGCTTTCAGCAGCTGTCCAGTCTGGCTTCAGGAACTCTGGTCTCACTTTGAGCAAGACTGGGAAGATCATCATGGTACTGTAAACCTTCTAATAAAAAAAAAAACAAAACAAAAAAAAAAAAAAAAAAACACAATTGCTTGTATTACCCAATATACAGCAAAGGTTACAACATGCTAAGCCTGTAAGGATACATTCACAAAAACGAAATTGCGTCACTCTTTTTAAACAAACCCGCATTGCTTTAGAAATGGCAGATGCAACCATTTGAGCTCACAGGGCTCTAAAACTTTGAACTTTATTATTATTAGGCCCCAAGCAATGACTTCTCCGAAGTCTCTATTGCTTTTCTTGAAACGATTAGTACTAAGGCCCCAACAGGAACTCCTGTGGGCTCCCTTTTTGCTTTTCTAGCAATTGTTAGTATTATGACCAGGGTGCCAACAGTGATTGCTGTGAGGTCCCTATTTTTTTTTCTTCGAGAAATTGTTATCCATCCATCCATTTTCAAAACTGCTTATCCTGAACAGGGTCGTGTGTGCTGACTTCGGGTGGAAAGCAGGGTAAATCCTGAATTGGTCATTAGTTAGGCGCAGTGCGCATATAGAGCCAAACAACCATTCACACCCACATGCTCACTGAGTGGGAACCGATTCCACACTGCCCACACACATCTAGCGACACCAGGGGTCTCCAACTCCGGGCCTGGAGGGCTACTGTCCTGCCTGTTTTCCAGCTCTCCCAGCTGCAACACATCTGATCTAGACGATCAACTCATCAGTCAGCTCTGAACCCAGCTGCAACACACCTGATCGATCTAGACCAGGGGTGTCAAACCTACGGCCCGCGGGCCGGATCCGGCCCGCAAAGGAGTTTAATCCAGCCCGCGAGATGATTATGTAAAGCAGGGGTGTCAAACATACGCTCCGCGGGCCGGAACCGGCCCGCAAGTAGGTTCAATCAGGCCCGCAGGATAATGTAAAAGTGAAAAAAATGCATTAAAGACACAGAATTAATATTTTTAATCAGGTGCAATTCATTGAGTATCCGCAAGGGGACACTGTTTTGATCAGAGAAGAAGACAACAGCAAAAGTGCATTACTGTATTTTTCAATACCAATTACTTGTTAAAGTTTGTACAATCAGTGGGATCAGTTGCAATGCATATATGTGAATGATAAAAGTAAATTGCACATTTGTCGAAGGAAATGTAAGGTGCTTCATGAAATGTTTTGTAAAAGATATGTTCATTAAATTTCAACATTTTCCTAATGTTCTTGTGCTTCTTTATACCAAAACAAAGGAAAGACATATTGTTTTGGTTATTTATAGCAAAGCATTGTATCATTTTAATGGTCCGGCCCACTTGACATCTACCGAGGCCGTATGTGGCCCACCATGTGAAATGAGTTTGACACCCCTGATCTAGACGATCAAGTCATCCATCAGTCAGCTCTGAAGCAGCATTCAGGGATGAGAGTGGCTAGTGATGAAAGGGGCGTGGCTGGGACAGGGGGCGGGGCCACTTACAAAAGTGGCACGAAACATGCTGAAGATGAAATGTATTCAATTTACACACGATTTGAAACTTTTCATTCATAAAGTGTTGTGTAAATGTGATAAAAAGCTGTTGATTCTTACCTCATACAGTAATAGTGAAGTCCCACACTGTTTACTATATATATGGGTTATGAATGTATTTTATTATATAAAGTCTATTTACAGTATATACAACAATATACAGTTTCATGAGGTAGAGTACTTTATTTTCTCTTCATTTTAAGCTTTTTCGCAAGCGCTAAAAGCTTATTGGTCCTCTCCGTCTTTTTCCACTCTCTTTTTAGCCAACTCCTCTTGTTTTTACACATGCTCCAGGCTGTCGAAAAGCGCTCGAGATCGAGTAGTTACTTTTCAGTAGAAATGTCTGTTTTCGGTGTTTCACCGAGGTTGCGTGACTCTGTAAAGCTTTCCATCCTCTCGATCCGTATCGAATGACATCGTCACACACTGTACACAGAGCTTTACCGGCGACATCGAGCTTTTTCACGAAATCCGACACAAGCACAATGGTTCTTCTTTACTGTTTCCTACTGGGGACACCGTCAGCTCTCTATCCAACCAGTCCCATCGAAACGTGTTTTTTAGATCGGCATCTATCTGACGCACTTCAGCTTCGCCGCGAGTCTCGATAACATTCGGCATTCGC